TTTTTTTTTTTTTGCATGTTCGTCCTCCGGCGAAAAGAACTCCGGCGGCAACAAATCCGGTGAAGGAAGTATTTTTTCGTGAATTTTGTTCGGCGAATTGAAAATTTTCCGTCAACATTTGTCCTTTTTTTTTCCGGCCAAAATTCGAAGTAGTAAGTAATATATGTATTATATGAGGATTTTGGTGTCCAAAAATCATGATTAATTCATATATTTTTGGTTAATTTGCTAAGGATGAATTTTGAATAATGTTATTCTTATTTACCCTAAATCAATGAAAATTATCAAAATCTCTTTTTTCTTGTTCATGTATATGAAATTGATGCTATTGTTAGGAAATGTAATGTGTTATTCATCCTAAAACAAGAAAATAAGGTGGAAATAATCATTGTACCACTATTCTTGATTATTGTACCTCTGTTTGTATTTATATAGTACCACTTTGATACTGTCTTGTACCATACTTGCTGGGAAATTTTATTTTTTTATTTATCCCATTATTATTAGATACGTAGAAGGGGCACAAAGTAATGTACTAGAGAGTTGTATGTACAAGAATGAATTGTTTGTGTTCTCTATGCACATTGGAACAACGCTTGACGAAATGTACACTCTTATATCTAAGAGGTGGCCGAACGTTAATTTCGAATCCGTCGTGCTATGCTATATTGCGCCAAAGAAAAAAAAAAGAGAGAGAGTTAGTTTGTCGGATGATGAGGATGTGAAAAACATGATTCTGTTACATGTTTGTTGGAAAGTAAATATTGTAGAGATACTTGTCATTCAAAGAAATAAAAGACAAGATGATGAGTTCAATCCTTTCCGTTGAACATGAGCAGGTAATGTTGCTTTCATAATATTAATGAATTTATTATTGAAATATCGTAGTCTTATCATATCCTAGTTCGTTTATTTTTTAACTAGTTCCATTATTTATAAATCTTTATATTATTTTGTCATGAATGCAGGAAAATCGTACCGTATGATTATTTCTCGGAGGGAGAAACATGAGTTGCTTTTGCAAGATAAATTGATCGATTCTTGGAGATTTTGCAACAAATGAGAGGGGCAGATATTTAGTGAGGCCGACAAATTTCGAAAGAGTGTTAAAAACTACGCGATTGCAAATAGGCAGTCTTTTAAGTATCGAAAAATGATAAACAGAAGTTCATTGTTTGTTGTAGCGATGTGGACATGTGTGTGTACTCATTTTCATTCCAAAGAGTGGGTAGTAAATGAGACTTTATGAGTAACATTTTTGTATACAATATACTGGTATTTCTTACTGCAATATATGTGATAATTTTGTGAAGTTTTAATCGGTGTATTACATTTTCATTCCAGAAAGCTGGTACTATATGACTAATTTGTAGTACTAAATTAACCAAAACAGGTACTACGCTACAACATTACAAGTACCAGCATCACACCCAGGTTTTTTATTCTTGTTTTTTGCTCTTTTTTCGAACACTATTTATTTAACGTGAGTGAGTGACTTTTAGTAATATAAAAACATTCATAAACTCATAGATACTAATTGAGGAGTGATTTTAAAAAAATATAAAGTCAAGAAGTACAATTTAATTTTTATAAGCCACAGAGGTTAAGTATGACTTTATAAATCTCGAGCCAAAGGGAAATGGATTAATTTGCGCATAATTTTATGCGATCACCTAGTGATAGGATGGTAGAGGATGTGGCCTTGAGGGCACCCAAACCCGGGTTGAGTCCCCTTTTGCGCGGTCCTTCCACCATTTTTTTGGCACACATATTAAAATTTAATTAGTACCTGTTTTATCCAAAATAATACTGCATCTTCTTCTACGTGGTACTTGTTTTTAAGCGAATTCTACTCACTTTTAATTACTATAAGTGTGAAAAAAAAAAATGGTTGAAGGATCGCATAGAGGAGGACTCGAAGCCAGGTCTGGAGGCCGCATTCTCTACCATCCTACCATTAGGCGATCACATTTATTCATGCGCAAATTTAATTCTTAACATCCATGGCTATAGAAATTAAATTTTACTTCTTGACTTAATAAATTATATTAATTGGCATATTTACCAATTTAATTAAAAACATAGACTTAGGATTTAGTTTTAAATTAACCTTTTGTACTTCGAATTTCACCAATTTATGTATTTTTATGTGTTCATCACAAGTGGTACTGATGACCCAATATCCGGTACTAACACAATATAAAATTGGTACTATC